TAACATACAATAGGCGCTTAGATAATAACATATTTTATCACATAAACCGCGGCGCGGAGTGTAATAAAGCCATTTAATAAGAACGATATTACACTAGTGTAATAACACTTTGACGTGACGTCATTTGCGCTATATAGAAACATAGCGTTAAAGCGCGCTAATGTAAGCGTTACACTATAGGGTCGTCGTTAAAAAATTACTCATTTTTACTGTTTATTGTTCTTATTTTATATTATGTGATAAATAGAATATTATATTCGTGTAGATTCAATACTAAATTTATTTAACTCGTTGAATAAAACAATATTATGCTTGCCAGAGGCTCGCATAATATGATTTTATTCAATTCGTTCAATAAATTTAATATTAAACTGCACTCATTCAATATCCTCTATATATAATCTGAGACGAAAATTATATTTATAAAAAAAAAAATCACAGTTAATACTCACTTTTAAAAATTCAATTTTAAATTCTTTTTTTTTTTTAAATGACCATATTAACAAGAGGGCCATGATGGCCCTGAGGTCGCTCACCTGTATATAGCCCCCCCCCCCACCCCCACCAACGTTGCAGGGCCAATTTAACCCAAGGGCTTTTATTTGCACAAACTTGGTAGACACCCATAAGAAGATGTTTCATGCTAAACATCTAAGCTCTAGCTCATTGGGCTTTTTAAAAGAAGATTTTTTTAAAGTTTTTACTATACACATATAGTTAAAAACAATGACACCCCTGGGGCCGGGCCAGTTTTGACCCCAGGGCTTTTATTTGAACAAACTTTGTAGACACTTACTAGAAGATGTTTCATGCTTAATATCTAAACTCTAGCTATTTGGGTTTTTTCAAAGAAGATTTTAAGTTTTTGCTATACACATATGTTTCATGCTTAATATCTTAACTCTAGCTATTTGGGTTTTTTCAAAGAAGATTTTTTAAGTTTTTGCTATACACATATAAGGAAAATCAATGACCCCCGGGGCGGTGCCAATTTTGACCCCAGGGCTTTTATTTGAACAAACTTGGTAGACACCTATTAGAACATGTTTGATGCTAAATATCTTAGCCATAGCTCTTTGAGTTCTTTAAAAGAAGATTTTTTAAGTTTTTACTATATGCATATAGGGAAAATCAATGACCCCCGGGGCGGGGCAAATTTTGACCCCAGGGCTTTTATTTGAACAAACTTGGTAGACACCCATTAGAACATGTTTCATGCTAAATATCTTAGCTCTAACTCTTTTGGTTCTTTAAAAGAAGATTTTTTAAGTTTTTACTATATGCATATAGGGAAAATCAATGACCCCCTGGGGCAGGGCCAATTTTGACCCCAGGGCTTTTATTTGAAGAAACTTGGTAGACACTCATTAGAAGACGTTTCATGCTAAATATCTTAGCTCTAGCTCTTTGGGTTCTTTAAAAGAAAATTTTTAAGTTTTTACTATATGCATATAGGGAATCAATGACCCCCTGGGGCGGGTCAATTTTGACCCCAGGGCTTTTATTTGAACAAACTTGGTAGACATTCACTAGAAGATGTTTCATGCTAAATATCTAAGCTCTAGCTCTTATGGTTCTTTAAAAGAAGATTTTTTAAGTTTTTACTATATGCATATAGGGAAAATCAATGATTCCCTGGGGCAGGGCCAATTTTGACCCCAGGGCTTTTATTTGAACAAACTTGGTAGACATTCACTAGAAGATGTTTCATGCCAAATATCTTAGCTCTAGCTCTTATGGTTCTTTAAAAGAAGATTTTTTAAGTTTTTACTATATGCATATAGGGAAAATCAATGACCCCCTGGGGCGGGGCCAATTTTGACCCCAGGGCTTTTATTTGAACAAACTTGGTAGACATTCACTAGAAGATGTTTCATGCCAAATATCTAAGCTCTAGCTCTTACGGTTCTTTAAAAGAAGATTTTTTAAGGTTTTACTATATGCATATAGGGAAAATCAATGACCCCCTGGGGCGGGGCCAATTTTGACCCCAGGGCTTTTATTTGAACAAACTTGGTAGACACTCACTAGAAGATGTTTCATGCCAAATATCTTAGCTCTAGCTCTTTGGGTTCTTTAAAAGAAGATTTTTTAAGTTTTTACTATATGCATATAGGGAAAATCAATGACCCCCTGGGGCGGGGCCAATTTTGACCCCAGGGCTTTTATTTGAACAAACTTGGTAGACACCCACAAGAAGATGTTTCATGCCAAATATCTAAGCTCTAGCTCTTAGGGTTGTTTAAAAGAAGATATTTAAAGATTTTTCTTTCGGTTGCCATGGCAACCAGAGTTCTGCATGGAATTAAATTCTTTGAACAATTTTTAAAGGTGACCACCAAAGGAACATTCCTGTGAAGTTTGGATGAAATTGGCTCAGTGGTTAATGAGGAGATGTCATTTAAAGCAAAAGTTTACGGACGGACGACGGACGGACAGACGGACGCCGGACGAAAAGCGATCACAAAAGCTCACCCTGTCACTTTGTGACAGGTGAGCAAAAAATGACACATACTAAACTTAAACACCTCATAAATAATAATAAACTACTTATGTTAACAGTAAAAACACATTTTCAAAAATTCATTATTAAAATTTAACAAGAGCCACCGCCGGGCGGGGGCAACGCTCGACTTTTTACTTTTTCTAAACGCAAACATAGAAAGGTTTGTACATATATTAACGTTTCCTTTTTATAAATTTAGTTGGTCTGTCTTGTCACATTAGTTTTCTTTATATATTTTGTATATATATGAATAGAAACATTAAGCATATTTCTAAAAATAGCAACAGTACGCAATTTCTTAAAAAAGCAACATGACGCAATTTCTCAATATAGAAAAAATGACGCAATTTCTAAAAATACAAAAAATGACATAATTTCTAAAAATAAAAAAGTGATGCAATTTCTAAAAATAGCAACAATGATGCAATTTTCAAAAAATAGAAAAATTGACACAATTTCTAAAAATAGAAAAAAGGAAGCATTTCTAAAAAAAGAAAAAAATGACGCAATTTCTAAAAATACTAAAAATAGAAATTATGACGCAATATCTAAAAATAGAAATTATGACGCAATTTCTAAAAGTAGAAAAAATGACGCAATTTCTAAAAATAGCACCAATGACGCAATTTCTAAAAATAGAAATTATGACGCAATTTCTATAATAGAAATTATGACGCAATTTCTAAAAATAGAAAAAATGACGCAATTTCTAAAATAGCACCAATGACGCAATTTCTAAAAATAGAAATTATGACGCAATTTATAAAAAAAGAAATTATGACGCAATTTCTAAATATAGAAAAAATGACACAATCTCTAAAATTAGAAAAAATGACGCATTTTCTAAAAATAGCACCAATGACACAATATCTAAAAATAGCACCAATGATGCAATTTCTAAAAATAGAAATTATGACGCAATTTCTAAAAATAGAAAAAATGACGCAATTTCTAAAAATAGAAATTATGACGCAATTTCTAAAAATAGAAAAAAAAGACGCAATTTCTAAAAATAGCACCAATGACGCAATTTCTAAAAATAGAAATTATGACGCAATTTCTTAAAATAGAAAAAATGACACAATCTCTTAAATTAGAAACAATGACGCATTTTCTAAAAATAGCACCAATGATGCAATTTCTAAAAATAGAAAAAATGATGCAATCACTAAAAATACTAAAAATAGAAATTATGACGCAATTTCTAAAAATAGAAAAAATGACGCAATATCTAAAAATAGCACCAATGACGCAATTTCTAAAAATAGAAATTATGACACAATTTCTAAAAATAGAAAAAATGACACAATCTTTAAAATTAGAAACAATGACGCAATTTCTCTAAATAGCAACAATGACGCAATTTCTAAAAATAGAAATTATGACACAATTTCTAAAAATAGAAAAAATGATGCAATCTCTAAAAATACTAAAAATAGAAATTATGACGCAATATCTAAAAATAGAAAAAATGATGCAATTTCTAAAAATAGAAATTATGACGCAATTTCTAAAAATAGAAAAAAATGATGCAATCTCTAAAAATAGAAACAATGACGCATTTCTATAAAAAAAAGCAATGACCCAATTTCTCTAAATAGAAACAATGACGCAATTCTATAAATAGAAACAATGACGCAATTCTATAAATAGAAACAATGACACAATTTTAGTTATTGTTGTTGTTGTAGTAAATATATATATATAGACACACACACACCAATAAATATTTAAATATGGTCATTTAATGCACAAATCTGAGAAAATTCAGTAATTTAACCTTCAAGGTCAAGGTCATTTAAGAGCCCAAGCAAAGTTGGGTTTGATAAACAACAAGGTCTGGTCCTTAAGAATGTTCTCTTATAATATGAAGTTGATCCCTTCAATAATAGCAAAGTTACAGTCAGTCCGCCAAAACAATGAAAATTTCAATAATTTGACCTTCAAAGACAATGTCATTAATGTGTGAAGGTCAAGGTCTTTCAGTATATCTTTAACAGTAATCTTTGAAGATTATTATGTTCAAGTTTCAGGACAATCCATTCAAAAATAACAAACTTACAGCCAATAAAAGCCAAAAAAATGAAAATTTCAATAATTTGACCTTCAAAGTCAAGGTCATTTATGAGTGAAGGTCAAGGTCTGGCTGGTTATTTTTAAGGGATATCCTTAAAGATTATTATGTTCAAGTTTGAAGACAATCCATTCAAAAATAACAAAGTTACAGCCAATAACAGCATGAACAAGCAAAAATTGGACTTTTAACCTTGAAGGTCAAGGTCATTTATGGATGAAGGTCAAGGTTAGTGTGGTCTACTGAAAGGTCTTGTCCCAAGGGTTGTTGTGGCCAAGTATGAAGACAATACACAAAGAAATAAAAAAGTTATGATCCAGGTACAAGTTTTCGGACGGCAACGGCAACGGCAACGGCAACGCCGACCTGACTGTAGCAATACCTCTATTTTTTTTTCAAAAAAAAAAGTCGAGCTAAAAAAATAAAAAATCACTAATGTTCACATTGTTATTTTTCTGCTCTCCTTACTCAGCACTATCACTTAGCAACAAAAGCTTTAAAAATTTTGTTGTAACTAAAAGAGAAATTTAATTTTTGTAATGAAAGAAACTATCATAACATGTAGTTATCAATTTGTGTTTTCAAGCTAACCAATTCTGTTGGACATTTCTTACTTCAACCTTGAAATTGTTTGTTTTCTGTTTGTTTGTTTCATTTTACGCCTTTTTCCAACAGTATTTCAGTCATATAGGCGGGTAGTTTCCTCACCATCATTCCTGGAGAGTTACACCAGTACTAGACTACCTTCCTCAGCGCTAAACTACCAAAGAATCTCCCGGGGATCAAACCCACGCCAGAGAGGTAACTGGATTAGAAGTCATCGGAGGCGGTCAACCTTGACATATTCACTAAAAACTCAAGTTAAGTGAACTTAAAAGGACACTATGTTTTAATTAATGGAAATGCAGACAAAGAATTACAATGATAAAAACAGTGTTTCGAAGTACCCTGATATTGTCAATTTGTAGTATTTACCCAAAGTATCCATAATTTAATAAAGTTTTATTATATATCTTTTACTAAAGAGTAAACAAAATTTCATACCCCTAGTTTATCACATAAACCATGGTACAGGAGTGTAATATACCCATTTAATAAAAACAATATTACACTATAGACTATAATGACATCATCTGCATTATATGCAAACATACAAATGGCGTTAAAGCACCCTTATGCTAATATTACACTATAGGCGCATCAATGAAAAATGACTCATTTAAGTATAAACCATTCTTATTTTAGATATGTGATAAACAGAATGAATATTATATTTGTGTAGATTCAATACTAAATTTATTAAACTTGTTGAATAAAACAATATTATGCTTGCCAAAGTCTCGCAAAATATTATTTAATTAAACTAATTCAAATTGTTCAATAAATTTAGTATTAAATCTACACTCACTCAATATCCTCTATTTAAAATATAAGTCAGAATATTAGAACACTAACAAAAGCTTAACCCACTGGAACCAATAGTTGTTAACCTTTGCTACCTGTATAACATGTATACCGAAAGGTCGTGCAGCCTGTTCAGACTCTATTTAAACTGTTGTTTGTCCCAATATTTGTACTTTGATATTGAAATTCCTTAAAATTAGAATGAACTGTTCCAATCTAATGGACAGGGGTGGTATATATATTTCCATAAATTCAGAAGGTTAAACGTTACTGTCGTGGTAGTTTTCCACTCCCAAGCAGTGAGCCACATTTAATTAACCAGAGCACAGTTCAGCCACTGCATCGTCAAGCAGTTAACCAGTACTAGATGCCTTCGCTTCCACAAGGAACTGATAACTTCTGTACATGTAGCACAGCAGTTTAATGTGAATGACCGTAGAAAGGATTTCATGATCAATCACAATGAAAGTGACCTGCGACGTCTGATTATCGATCCCAGGTCACTGGTTTCTGTTACAATTTTGTAAAAAGGTAACAAGATAAAAATCAAAATAGAATTCTTTAAAATAAATTTAAGAGCTGAATATCTCACAACATATTACATAAATAGAAAAAGATAACAAAATTAAGACCATGAAAGACTTACAGTTAGCAAAATGGAATTTCAAAATCAACAAATTTTAATATGATAACAAATGGATTCAAATACCTGACAAAAGTTCCGGGTGCTGTTTTATCAACAAAGACCATCGTTAAGGATCTAACGATTGAAACTCATGACCGAACCTGCGATACACATAAGATCGTTTTATGTACATGATTGTATGCACTCAGTGGCAGCTAAGACCATTTTCAGTTGTACGAACAAGTCTGAGCCACAACTGAGCGTACGACCGTTGATAAAACCGCACCCAGATCTTCTTACAGTTTACATATGAAGTGTAGCGGTCATTTAGAATCTGATTTTAATCAGATTGGTGGATCGAGAATTCTGCTAATAAACCAGGGGCCTAAAACTGTGTTTAGTTCCCTGGCATAACGCATTGAATATAAAAGTTCTAACAGTTTATTTACTAAGCATTTTCTTTTACATCTGGCTGTCTATCTCTTAAATAATAATCCACTTTTAAATTTGGTATAGATTTAGTATCATCAATATGAATTTCATCCCCATCAAGAATTTCAAGCCTGCTAATTGGCAACAATCCACCCCTAATTTCCTGAAATTCACCTACAGACTCATTGTGCTGAGTATTGCAGCGTTTGTGGTTGAGGACAGCATACATGGTACTGAAATTATACAACAAACTACATGTAATGAACCCAATTGAGTTGAATGTAGGGAAAATTGGGAAACAATAGTCAAAACTAGAAATGTGTCTACAGGACAGGGATACTGCACCTTTCCCGTTTTGTCACTGTTTATGGACAGAAAGTGTACAAAATTCACTGCATGACGGACAAAGCTTGACAGCATGAAAGCATGATTGACAGACAAAGTCTGACAGCATAAAAGCCCGATTGATGGCCAAACCTATATCAACACAATGTGTTTTAATTCACACCATATTTTCTACAAAGGGAGATCACTTGTGAGTAACTAATGACAACAGAAATATATATCTGCCAGCAGTCTTTGTATGATTGAATCGATTGATGATAGACATTGAAATAGCTAACATTCATCATGCTCTTATGTAAACCAGCCATAGTGGTTATAGTGATGTTGTCTCAGGGTTAACACCAGTTAGTATTTCACAGAAAGTTCAGGCAAACATTACTTTTTACTAATTTACATAATAGATAGCAGACAGGTAAATTAGAGGTAACAAGCATTTGATAGTATTGCGGGCAATACAGTAGTCCCCTACCGGTCCCTCAAAAAGTTCTTTAATTGTCATACACTCCTGTGTATTGCCATTTATAATGAATTTGAGGATGAAGTCTGTATTTAAAAATATCGACCACAAAACATAATAAAATAAGTTTGTCTATATCACAGTAATGTGTTAAGTTTCCATGCTTAGTAAGGAAATTATGTTTATACAACCTTGTCATATTATTACGATGTGGGATTTTAAAGTAAATCCTATAAGGAATGAAGAAGTTGGAGTGAAAATACCAGTTTCTCGAAAAAAATCTAAGTTCAAGGGGGACATAATTCTGGAAATAGTCTTGCTAGAGTATTTAACCTTCTCAAAAATGTCGAGTGTTAATAAGAAACATATATATGAAGTTTGAAGTAGATACATAAGGAAATAAAGAAGTTATTTAAAAAAGACAACATTTTTCCCCTAAAAAAATCTAAGTTCAAGGGAGGTAATACTGATATTTTTTGTGCTAGAGTTATAAACCTTGTCACATATGACGTGGTTGATGACCAGAAACTTATATTTAAAGTTTGAAGTAAACACCTTAAGAAATAAAGAACATATAGTGAAAAAGCTGAAAAATTTAAATCAGAAATCTTGAAATTCAGGCTATTTGTTGCCATAGCAACCAGAATTTTCAAAATAAGAAGAAAAGAAAAAGATGTGCATAATCTCCAGACTGACATCTACCCATATTTCAAGTTTCATAAAAATATTTTCAGTACTTTTTGAGTTATCACTGGATCCAGTTTATGTGTTAAATTTGCCATATTTTCAGACTATTTGTTGCCATAGCAACCAGAATTTTCAACATAGGAAGAAAAAAAAAAGACGTGCATAATCTCCATACTGCCATCTATCCATATATCAAGTTTCATAAAAATATTTTCAGTGTTTTTTGCGTTATCGCGGGATCCAGTTTTGTGGACGGACGGACTGACGGACTGACAGACAGACGGACGGACAGACAGACGGACGGAGGGTAAACCTAAAGTCCCCTCCGGTTAAACCGGTAGGGGAACCGGTAGGGGACTAACAAGGTGTTTCCTTATGATTATGTCTTCTATTAGAGGCCAATGTTTCATTTTCCCACTTCATTCCTTTAATTTGACAATAATATGGAACAATCTATTTAAAAAAAAAATTTAACCTTTAGAAAAGCTGATGGCAGCTTTAATAAGAATAAGGAAATACCTTTGATCAATTTTCTTTGCGATAAGGTTCCTCAGAGTGTCGGCCATACTTCTTACAGAAATGGTCTCAGTGAATGCCAATTTGCCATTATGAATAAACCTCACTGTCACATATTCTGTCAACCCTTTGCTTATATCTACGTCTACCAATGGAGTGAGCTGACCTTCAATGAAATACACGTATATATAGAGCAACCTATTCAAAATGGCCCAGCTGAATCCTCTTTTTTACTTTTTTGTTCAAACTGCACTTTATCATAAGTAAAATGTACATGATTACTGGAAGTACATAAAACTTTGCATACATCATGTTAAAAATGTAACAATATTCGAGAAATTCTGCACAATTATTTTTTGAACATGATGAACATGACTGAAATCATGATTTAATGATACATATAGGGCTATTTCCCTTACTTTGTCTTTTCTCAACAATATGATATATATCAAGTTATTTGTCTCAAGCTTATGTTATATATCAGGTTATTTGTTTTCAGCATGATATATCAGATTATTTGTCTAAAACATATGAAATATATCAAGTTATTTGCCTAAAGCTAATGATATGTTTATCAAATTTTGTCAAACTATGTCTTTTCTAAGGCATATGATATATATGTATATATCAGGACATTTCACTTTCCATAGCATTTTTCTCCATAATATACAATAATTATAATATAAATATATATAATTCGATATCAATTTTTTAAAGTATATGATATATATCACATTTCCCTCTTTTCTCAACTATAGGATATAATTATATCAGATTATTTGACTTACAATGTCTTTTCTAATTATGCGATATATATCAAAATAGGTCACTTTCCTTGCCATATTTATCAATTGGATATTATATTTTCATCAGTATATTTCACTGACCATCTCTTATTCCTCTATCATATGATATCTATCAGCATCTATAACTTACAATGTTTTTTCTCTAGTGTATGATATATATATGCATTTCTGACTTACAGTGTTTCTTCTCTAGTGTATGGTATATATGTAAATATCAGCATTTCTGACTTACCATGACTTTTCTCTAGTGTATGGTATATATGTAAATATCAGTACTTCTGAATTACCATGACTTATTTCTCTATCATATGATATATATCAGTATTTCTGACCATTTTTTCCCTCCAGTGTATCATATATATATCATCATTTCTGACTAACCATGTCTTTTCTCTAGTATATGATATATACCAGTATCTCTGACTTACCATGTCTTTTCTCTAGTATATAATATATATTAGTATTTTTGACTTACCATGTCTTTTCTCTAGTTTATGATATATATCAGTATTTCTGACTTACCATGTCTTTTCTTTCTAGTTTATGATATATATCAGCATAATCATATGATATATATCAGCATTTCTGAGTTACCATGTCTTTTCTCTAGTTTATGATATATATCAGTATTTCTGACTTACCATGTCTTTTCTCTAGTGTATGGTATATATGTAAATATCAGTATTTCTGAATTACCATGACTTATTTCTCTATCATATGATATATATCAGTATTTCTGACCATTTTTTCCCTCCAGTGTATCATATATATCACCATTTCTGACTAACCATGTCTTTTCTCTAGTATATGATATATACCAGTATCTCTGACTTACCATGTCTTTTCTCTAGTTTATGATATATATCAGTATTTCTGACTTACCATGTCTTTTCTCTCTAGTTTATGATATATATCAGCATAATCATATGATATATATCAGCATTTCTGAGTTACCATGTCTTTTCTCTAGTTTATGATATATATCAGTATTTCTGACTTACTATGTCTTTTCTCTAGTGTATGATATATATCAGTGTTTCTGACTTACCATGTCTTTTCTCTAGTGTATGATATATATCAGTATTTCTGACTTACCATGTTGTTTCTCTAGTATATGATATATATCAGTATTTTTGACTTACCATGTCTTTTCTCTAGTGTATGATATATATCAGTATCTCTGACATAGCATGTCTTTTCGCCAGTGTATAATATATCAGTATTTCTGACTTACCATGTCTTTTCTCTAGTGTATGATATACATGTATATATATATATATATATATATATATATATATATATATATATATATATATATTATATATATATAATATATATATCAGTAATTTCTAACTTACCATGCCTTTTCTCTAGTGTATGATATATATCAGTATTTCTGACTTACCATGTCTTTTTTCTCTAGTGTATGATATATATCAGGCTTCAATTTTTTATCGTAGAAATGTCTTAATAGGAAACGCTCAGATTTTTCTCTCTCTGATGGAGTCACTTCACTTCCATTGAGCAGTTTGACATTTGGTAAACTGCAAAACAATATCTTGACCTTTATTGTACAATTTTCATTTTCAAAACCACTAAATTTCTCCACACCACTAAATTACTTTCTGAATTTGTAACAGCCCATAGTTATTCTAGAAATTTAAACCCTTTATCTATTGAATATGGGCAATTTACATATCCTCCTTTGAACTTGGAACAGACTAATAGAAATTTTAAAGCATTTCATAGACAAAATACAAAAATGAAATATGCCTTTTCCTAGCTATTTTGAAGCCCAGTACCATAAAATTGCTTACTTGCGACAAAAATATCTGATAAAACCTCTTTTCAGGCTTTCTTAGGAAAAGAGGTGCAACGCCTATTAATCATTTCTGCTATAAGAATTGCAAAAAAATTTTTTGATTTTAAATTTAATCCTGAGCATATTTCTTTGTAACCTTTTCAGTTTCGCAGAGTTTTCAATTTCAAATGCTTCATTAGATCTAAGTTAGAATTTCAAATGTTTTTTATTGTTTTTGACCTGTGGAGCTCCTTTTAATCTAGAAAGCGCTGATGGGCGGAAAAGCCTGGGATTAATCTATTGGCACAGGTTATTACCAGTTTCAACAGACTTAAGACTCTTTCACAGTAACAATTATTTAGATATGATAGCTATAAAAGTCGCTTTATAAGGTTGCATTACACACATAAAATTCATTAAATTATAACACATTCAATTTTGGAAGTAAAAGATTTCAAACTTAATGTGGAACATGTATTAAATGTTCAGCACATACCTTGCCATGAACAGTTTTCTTCTATCTTCATCACTTAGTTTTGATCCTAATTTCACATTCTGAAACAATAATTTTTTTTAAGTTAAGTACAAGTTTAATGCTGCATGCCTCCAGATACTCCAAAATATTTCAAGAAAATCAAACCAAAACAGTATAAGTCATATGACTTCAAAACAAGAGAAAATGATTTTGGCTAACATCCTGTGTTACAAACTTAAAGCAGCACCAGGGGTCAAAACCACTTCATCTGGTCCATTGACTCCAATAATTGAGTGGCTGCAATTCTGACGCCTAAACAGTTTAAGGCAACCCCTCAGCCAAAAAAGGGTTCTTTTTATCTCACCTTAGACCTTTGCATGTGACCATTGCCAAAGAAAACTGAACTGTTTACTCAACACTATGCTACCTGTAATAATATATATAATAATATATAATCCCTCGATGTGAAAACTTGCTTAAGTTTTACTATGGACATGTGCTTTCCTCTGATCTTTGAGTGTAGACTTTTGACCTAGAGACCTGCTCCATGTGTGCAACACTGTCTCATAATGGTGAACATTTGTGTCCAGATATACTAAGATCCCTCAGTGCATATAGAAGATATGCTCTTTACATTAAATCACCTCTGGTGACCTTGACCTTGCCTAAATTGACCTGAATCATGCTGCCAATACTCAAAGTCAAGATTGTGAAAAATTTTGATATTTTCCCTCAATTCAAAACAAATTGTTCATACACACATTTTCATATTTTTATCTGACAATTGACCTTTAAAGTGTGATCATAGTCCTTTTTCACAGGGACACACAACCTCACAATGATGAACATTTCTGCCATGTAACAAAAATGTACATTAAAAACTTTGTATGCATGTACAAGTTTTTTCTCCCTGTGACCTCTAAGTAGGATCTTGACCTTTGACAGAGAGACCTGCTTCATGTGTGCAACACTGTTTCAAGATCATGAACATATGAGTCTTGAAACACTTAGGTTCATCAATGCACATGGAAGATATGCATTGTACAAATTCTTTTACAGTCAGTCACCTCTGGTAACCTTGACCTTGCATATATTGATATAAATTATGCTGGCAAAATTAAGTCTTGTCTCTAAATAGTAGACATTTTTTATATTATCTCTCCATTCAAAGAAATTAAACTGTCCATACACACATTTTCAACTGAATATTGACCTCTAAATGTGACCTTGACCTTTGCTGCAGGAACCCAAATTTCAAGCAAGACAAACCATCTTATCATGGTGAACATTTGAGCCAAATACTGCATGTGGAAGTTTGCTCTAGACAAATGTTTTTCTTTGACCTCAAAGTGTGACCTTAACCTTTGACCTAGTGACTTTCTTCATGCACAAGACACAACCTCATATTTTTGTCAAGCAATATTATCTAAATCCCTCCATGCATGAAGAACATGTGCTCTGGACAATACTGAATGTTGCCTGGACACTGGCTGCCGGCTAAAAACATTTCCATTATAAATCTCTTTTTTATGATAAAAAGGTGTATAAAAAAGAGAAAATTGACAGATATTACAAGTAAGATAATAGTAAGATAAGATATTTAAGATATTAAATTCATTTCAAAGTTTTACCTTCATTCTAACTGATTTTAGAGCAGGGAATGTTCGCAGTGCACTCAAATGTTTCCACTTCCCAATCTTTGTCTCACTTACACACAAAGTTTCAAGGGAGATAAACGGTTTTTGACTGACAGGTTCTTCATCACAAAGACAGCAAGAGTCATCTCCCCTGTTTAAGCCTTTCCCATCTGTCCCTCCTCCATTTTTCAGCTCATTGTTTTCTTTATTTTCATCAGCAAAATCTGCATCCTTTTGGTTCATTTCTGGATCAAATTTTGTACTTGTCTCCGCAGCAGACTCATCTTTGGCCTCTTCAACGACAACATCAAAAGCTCTCCTCAAGATAAGCTCAACAATCTCTCTACTCAGTTGCTTTATGCATTCCTGATCTTCCTTATCTTTTATATCAAACAAACTTTCAGACCCGGTCTCTACCAGCTGATCTTTAGGTCTTTCAGAACATTCAACTACACCAATACTTGTAGTTGGGCTGTTTTCCTCTTGTCTGGACATCATGCTTTCTTCATCTTTGCCTTGCAACACACTGGACTGTGCAATATCATTTCTTATTGCCTCATCTATCACAGAGTTCAGAATGTTTTCACAATATTGCCGAACTTCTTCTTGAAGCGATTCAATAACGTCATCACTATTAGCAACAGTGGCATCATCAAGTTTTACTGCATCTCCATCATGGTTATCATTAACTTTGTCACTGCCAAGAGCAGTCATGTCATCAACAGTTACAGTTTCATGACAGGAACAGTTACAATCAGGGTCAAGGTCACCTGCTTTGTAATGTATATCAACTAAAGGATTTCCAGATAGGATCAGAGACTTTAAGCCTGATAAATGACGGAGTTTCCACACTTCATCCCAACTAAGGTATAAAAAGAAAACATTTCTCATTTTCTGATGTCATTATTGAATATTTTGTAAGGGAATACTCTATTCAGTTCTGTTACACAACTTGCATGCTTTAAAACAAAAGAGACACTCTTTTTCTCTGTCAAGACATGACAAAATTTTATTAAAAAAAAAAAATGTGACTTTCCATTTTTTTTTTATTGTGTATATATTAGTTTCCCTTTTAAACCTTTGCACCCATAGAACAATTTTCAATATTTCACATCAGTCATGACAGAAGATGCTGTGAGCAAACATACAGACAAAATCTTATAGAATTATATAAATGACAATCATATACATGTTATAAGTTAGAACTTTTTTTGAGCTGAAGTCATGAAAAATACTATATTGTATTGAACAGGAAAGTGGTTACAATATTTTACTGTTAGCAATAAAATGATAATATTAATAATTAATATTAGAGCAATTTTGGTCATACCATGCAAAAACAGGAAAGATGATTTTGACTAAACTTGGGTATTACAAACTTAATGCAACACCAGGGGGTCAAAACCACGTCACCTGCTGGAGTTAAGAAATGCATAGACTCCAGTTATTCGAAACCCATTTAGTCACCTCTTACAATCACACAGGGATAAACTATGGCTGCAATTCTGATGCCTCAACCATTAAAGGCAACCTCTCAGCTACAAGAGAGTATTTTTTCCTAAATTTAATATTCAGAATGTTTGTACTTACCTGGTAATGTGATTATCATTCATTCTCAAACATTCAACACTACGGAGACCAAGATGTTTTCCTTCTGGTATATCTCTGAAATCTGTAATCATAAAAAAAAAACATGATCTAATACTCCATTTTTTGCTTAAATTGTTCTGTTTTCACATTCAAAATCATGCAAAGTTTTGAATGAATTCTAAATAAATTCTATTACAAGTTTTTCATTCCGCCTATTTTATAAATAACCGTAGCATGTGCCTTTACACAAGACCTTGACAGTCAAGGCCATTCAAAAGTAAAGGTCGTATTTGAATTATGAACATTATATGTAGAAAGTCTTCTTTTGTCTAATTATGTATAAACAAGAGGGCCATGATGGCCCTGATATCACTCACCTGTATATAGGCCTCCGGGCGGGGCCAATTTTAACCCAGGTGCTTTTATTTGAACAAACTTGGTAGACACCCATTAGAAAATGTTTCATGATAAATATCTAAGCTATAGCTTTTTGGGGTTTTGGTAGAAGTTTTTTAATTTTTTTCTATACACATATAGGGCAAAACAATGACACCCCTCCCCGCCCTTAGGCAAGGCCAATATTGACCCCATGACTTTTATTTGAACAAACTTGGTAGACACTCACAAGAATATGTTTCATGCTTAGTATCTTAACACTAGCTCTTTGGGTTTTTTTAAAGAAGATTTTTTGAAGTTTTCACTATACACATATTAGGAAAATCAATGACCCCCCAGACGAGGCCAATTTTGACCCCAGGGCATTTATTTGAACAAACTTGGTAGACACTGACAAGATGATATTTCATGCCAAATATTTAAGCTTTAGCTCTTTCGGTTTTTAAGTTTTTTCTTTGGGTTGCCATGGCAACCAGAGTTCTGCATGGAATTAAATTCTTTGAACAATTTTTAAAGTTGACTTCCAAAGGAACATTCCTGTGAAGTTTGGATGAAATTGGCTTAGCGGTTTATGAGATGTTGTTTAAAGTAAAAGTTTACGGACGGACAGACGAAAAGAAATCACAAAAGCTCACCATGTCACTTTGTGACAGGTGAGCTAAAAAGTACATTAATAAAATAAGTTATGACAATTAACATGTAAGCAAAACTGAATAATTTGGCCATTGTCAAGTTTGAATTATTCATCATGAACAAGTTTTTGGTTCACCGTTCTCGTTTTTGAGTTACCTGTCCCTGAACTAACTCAAGGGCAGATACTTCACAATGAAGGTAAACGATAACTTTTTTGAAGGTAAACAATAACTTTTTTTCTCTTATTTTCATGTATCTAATCAATGAGCAAATCAATTTATAACTTCCTTACTATTTGCACATAGATGAAGTTCCTTTAAATGTGGTAACAGTTTCGCAAATTGCAAGACATCCTTCCATTTGATACCTGTCCTGTTTAAAACCAAGTTTTCTACATTTGGAAGTGGGCTTGACCATTCATATAATGTATCCTACAAACAAGAAAAGTCCAATTTAACAACATGTATTTTAATTCTTTATTAATTTTAATTACTTTTTTCGCTAAATACTGTAACTTCATTAAAAAATAACCTGCGTGACATCAAATAAACATCGTAACAATACGCCACATGGCAACAAAATAAAACAAAACGTTCGTAAAATACATAATTATCATACATATGTATAAAAACGTGTTTCCTTTATGGTATTTAATATAAAAGTTTCCTACAGTTAAAATATATATAATATAATGAATATATATATATCATTAACATAAATGAATATTTGTACATAAACAGAATAAAATGTTCTGGAACAATATATCATTCTGCTATTTTAAATAGGCTTTTATCCATTTAGCAATGATATTATGTAATGCGTCAATTGATTTTAAGGTAATTTACTACCAAATGCCCTTCATACCAACATTTTGTAGGTATTCTTTTTTAAAGTTCAAACAATAATTTTTGCAGTATAGATAATTAGCTATAAAGATTTTTGACAGGTTGTTATGGCCCTATTATCCTATATTAATGGCTGCTAGGCGAGGGTTATTGCAAACAACTGTTTATATGCAGCAATATAACCTGTCAGAAATATTTATAACAAATTTATAATACAGCAAACATCATTTTTAGAGGAATGAAGCAAGATTTCTTCAAAAATCGACAGCAGCCGTGTATACAAAACTATATAAATGTCACGATTATCCAATGAAAAGCGACATTACAAATGTGCAGTAATATAAATATTAATTAATATACATGTAGCTTAAAATATATATATACGCTTTTAAATGTTGTACTCTACAGAAATATCATACTTATGTACATCATGGAAACCCACGGGTATTAATTTCGCTGAACTACATTCATTTCATGCGCATGAAGTGAATTTATTTCATGCTCTCCAGCGTTTTATTGTAATATATCAGATGATTATATTCTGATAAACCACTAGTGAAATTTATAAAATATAATTTTCACTGTAGCCGGACTATATCTGAATGCGGATGAAAAGAAAATCAAACTATAAATGGAATTACAGGCAGAAAAAAATGCCGTCATACGTAAATTGTGCTTCTTTAGGGAAAGAAAGTCAATGTCAGCATACATCATGTTAAAAATGTAACAAAATTAGAGAAATTTAACAGAAGCATATTTCAAAATTGATGATGTGACGTCATGATGTGATGACGTCACAAAGGAGAATGCGCGACTTTACGCGGCAAAATCAGTAAAAATACTTAAAATCACTTAAAAAGCATGAAATAAAAAGAAAATTTATTTGGTTTACATATAAGATTGAAATATTTGTCATTCGTGAACACCAGCTATTGCATCTGGTGTTCACTCAGTGAAATTATATTTCAATCTTACATGCAAAACAAACAAATATCCTCTATACAAATATACCTTATTATTTGCAATAGGGTTTCTAGCTATGTTCAGGAACTTCAGGTTTTGTAGCTCCTGTATTAATGGTAAAATTTCACTCCAAGAGTCCAGGAGATTCCCTGTAGAAAAAAAACAACAAAATCATTTCAGCACTTCACAGATTCTTCTAATGTCAAAGTTCACCTTTTTGTTATTATTAATAACTTATAAATTTATAATTTTTCTTTGTATATTCATCTGTTTAAAGAAGTCTTCAACTCTTGAAGGAGCTCCACACAGAGGTAAAAAATCCTAACATCATAAAATTGAAATTCTTACATATACAATGTATCAAGTGAAGTACTTAAAATTGAAAAAAAAATTCTGTGAAAAATGTCAAAGAAATAAATGAGCCGCGTCACGACAAAACCAACATAATGTGTTTGGGACCAGCATGGATCCAGACCAGCCTGCACATCTGCGCAGTCTTATCAGCATCCATGCTGTTCGCTATCAGTTTCACTACTTGTAATAGGGTTGATAAGCGAACAGCATGGATCCTGATCAGACTGCGCAGATGCGCAGGCTGGTCTGGATCCATGCTGGTCGCAAACCCATTATGTTGGTTTTGTCGCGACGCGGCTCAAATGTAGAATAAAATTGAATAATGATCTGTGTGATTATTAGCCTGATTATAAATTAACTAAAAGCGCTTACAGCCATCTCCTCCAGTGTAAAACCTGGCCATACATTCTGTGTTAAGCCAAAGACATAGATCCAGTGTTTTGTTTTTCTTAACAGAGAGACACTTTCAACAAGAGGTAGGTTTTGGGAATTGTACTAGTTTTCCAGGGGGAGAAAGAGAGAGGGGGCGGGGGCCGTCATTAAAAAAATCAAATTAACTTAGAATCCTTAACCCACCCCTTCACCCTCTCGATATACGTCCGTGTCTGACCAGGCTCTACACTGTTGATTGATTATTAAAAAAGTAAAACTTTGTTTAAAAATTTATTTCTTCATCTTTAGCACCTGTAAATTGACAACTGACAATTCTAAAAAAAGCAGGTGGTCAAATCCATCTAAGAAATTCAACAGGTTTCATAATTATCATTAGGATTTGGCTTCATTGAAAACCAATTATAGCAAAATGTCAATCATCATTTGCTGTTAATATTCAAGATACATTGTATACTATACTCGAATTTGATATTTCAAAATATTGATAATTCCTACATGATCTCTGACTTTAAATATAAAATACAAAAAATGTAAACATGATTTGACTTCACACAAACTTAATAGGTTATGCTTTAAATCCTACACACTTATAGTGGACTAAGAGTGTCATTAAAAAAACTGGCAGCTTTACTTGACCTGTTATAAGGAACACAGATTCCCATAAAAAGTTTGTACATTCTTTTATTTCGATAAAATACATATTCAAGAAGAATTTTATAGATTTCAATAAATTTCTGCAGTAAAAATATTTAACTTAAAGATATGCATAACATATCTTTCAGTACTGCCAGGTACATTGTATTTCTTTATTCTACACAAGGGTAAATATAAAATGTAATGAGTCATCAATCAAGGTTAAGTAAATGGATAACGTCATTTCTAAAAATAGTATGTTATACATGTACAGTGTGTTTTGGTGAATCCAGCTGAATTTTTGGACAGGTAGCATGCACGGTGAAACATTCTTAAAGGCCCATTATGCCTTAGAAAGGCATTTATTTTCATTTCTCACAAAAGTTAATTTGGGTATACTTTTATGGTACCTAAAAATTTACTAATTGGCCAATTACCAGAACTTTCTTTTTCATCTGTTGCTTTTTTGGCAATAAGTACAGTTATTGAGAATAAGTCTTATGAATGGAAGTCAAAATACATTATGTACTTCTTTGTATACCTTTTGCTGAGTACTTTTATCATTATGACTAATTATTTTACATTTATTGCTACTTTCTTCAGGTAAACCAGCATCAAAAGTGCTCTAAAACCATTATTTAAACATTATAAAAAAATCATGTTTGCCCTTTTGAAAGAAAAGGCATAATGTGCCTTTAAAATAAACAACAACAGAAAACGTTAACCTGAAGCAAATTTTTATCAATCACTTTCTTGGTACTGAAAATATTGTCTTCAAAGCACTTTCTTTCACTTTTAATAATTTTGTGTGAAGTTCACATGATTTTCCATTTATTCTTTCCCAACTAATCTTTGCATGCTGTTCAAAAATTTACATTCAATGAATCAGTTGGGAAAAGATTGTGGAAATCAAAATCAAAATTTTTGAATACACATTGTTCATTTAATATTTATAAGTCTTGTAAATTTGCCACCTATCTTTTGGCTTGCAATAAAGGATCTTAAATGACCTCACTGCTGTGGGTTGACACCCTCCCTGGACTAGCTAGTAGTGGAACAACTTTAGTGGTTCTACTCATGGGCCCACTCATACATGTCTGAAATGTTACAATGAGGTCTACCTGAAATCTGCCTCCACCAGAGTATAGCCTTAATGTCACCGCTAACTAGTGTGTTTGTGCCACATAAACACCCACCCCACAAAATATTCAACTTAAAGACAACGCTACTGTGTTGGTGTCACATAAACACTGACCCTCCCCTACAAAATATTCACAATCATACCTGATATATCCAAATCAACAACATTTGGACATAATGATCTAATACTCTGTCCCTCTAATGCTGATGTTCTAATGTAACTGTTACTGACACACTGAAAAAAACAACAACAACAAATTTGAAATAAATAATTAACAAGTGTGCAATAAAAATTATTTGAAATAAGTAGGGTCTACTCAACAAGTGCAATAACATTTAAAATGAATAAGGAATACCATATACAAAAGTGTGCATATAAACTAGCCCAACAAATTATGCTCCAGGCCTTTTTATTATATACAGTAGAGGATGGTATTTGGTAATATATCATGCAGATTGTAAGATCGGTCGGTCTTGCAGTTAAGATATTGAGATTAGAATATTACGGGGAAGTCAAAGCCAGCAGCTGGGAAGTGGGCCCGCGCTTTGGCTTGCCCGGCTATAGACTACACATTCATATTAAGGTTTGGCATCCTTGGCAAAAATATCTGGTTTACAAAATAGAACAAGTTGAAAGGTCAGCTGCCACATTTTTTTCTAGTATTACTTTTGATACAGTACGCTAAAGCTTGAAATACTTTACTTACAACATTTGTTAGGTACCCAAGTTCTGCATCCCCTCCAGAGTTTGTGCGCTTCTTAGGTGGTCTTCCTCCAAAATATCCAAACTTGAACTCCTCATTACCGCTACAGTACTTTGACCTGAGAACCGATAACAAATTACTATGTTCTTTTTCCTCCTTTTTTGTCTCTGTTTCCCTCTGACTGTCACTGTCATTTACCGTTTCTAGCCCAACGACGAAGCTTGTTGCTTTCCCTGCCATTGTGCAGAAATGAATATAAAAAAATGTGGGAACTTATTATAGAAATTGTATAATTTTCAAATAATGAGTCAGAATTCAGTAATAGCTATGTTTACTTTTTGATCAATCGGAACACCTCGACTTTTATTACTCATCAGAGGTAAATCTAAACTTTCCGACTATCTTTAATTATACGAAGTTTTAGGAACAAGAACTTAATCCCTAAGACACTACACCCCGAATATTTTGAGGAAACTTCATCCCTGCAGACAATTCAAATATTTTCAACACCCTCTTATTTTTGTCAAAGAGCCGAGAAGTTGCGATTGATTTAAATCCGTAGACTGGTCCGGGGGGTACCACTAAAATACGCAACGGAGATTTTTTTGGCGCAACGGACGCAACGGGCGCAACGGAGATATTTTTTTTAGAAAAACCGGCACAACGCCTTTTTTTAAATCAATGTGCTATATTTAAGCATCTAAAATGATTAATTAGCATTATTAAGTAAGTATGTTTTAAAATGTTTCATAAATTGTACACGTTTAATTGCACTGAAGAGTTATATGCCTGGCGAAATGGAAATTTCATGGCGCAACGGAGATATTTAAAAAAACAACAACGACACAACGCCTTTTTTAAAGTCAATGTGCTATATTTAAGCATCTAAAATGATTGTTTAGCATTATTAAGTAAGTTTGTTTTAAAATGTTTCATAAATTGTATATGTTTAATTGCACTGAAGGGTCATATGCCTGGCGAAATGGAAATTTCATGGCGCAACGGAGATATTTTTAAAAAAAAAAAACACGACACAACGCCTTTTTTAAAGTCAATATGCTATATTTGAGCATCTAAAATGATTGTTTAGCACTATTAAGTAAGTATGGTTTAAAATGTTTCATAAATTGTATATGTTTTCACTGAAGGATTATATATGCCTGGCGAAATGGAATTTCACGGCGCAACGGAGATAATTTTGGAAAATCGGCACAACGTATGTACTAATATATGAAATTAATTAACACCAATGTTATTTAATAAATTAATTTTAAAAAAGACATAGAAATCTTAATCGTATATCAAATAGCTGCAATGTTGATGTTGTAAAGGATTGTGTGCCGGCGAAATGGACATTTTGTATTCGCAACGGAGATTTTTTTTCGGCGCAACGGAATTTAAAGAGAAAACAATGTTTGTCCTAATTAAGTAGTAATATGAAGAAATGAATCATTAACGATATTAACTGAATTACTGAAGTGGTGTAATAAAAGTCTGTTTTATTAATTTAAAAATGGAATTAAATACGTTTTTATCGTAATGGCTGACACTGGAAGAAAAGTATGGATTTATCAATCTGTTTCATGTTTTCCCCGTTCAATTCGTTATTTTTACGAAAAGTACTGTGATAGCTTAATTTTCTATACATAATTTTCAGAATTTTACTTAAAGAATACGAAAAGTCCGTAATGCATACGCTGTGGACTTTCTAATGTAATCTTAACAATAAATTACCACAACCAAATTTCAACTAAACGCTGCTTAATGGCTTTATTGCTACACAAATTAATACGTTTATTTCCGTCATGGCTGATATTCGAAGATAAACATGAGTCTTTAAATCTTTTTCTTTTTTTCCCGTGTATTACGTTATATTTACGTTAAATATTGTAATGACTTTTATCAATGACATGATTGTAAAACAAAGTCATATCTTTATTCAAAAGATTTGTATTACAAATAGTAAAACGACATGCATGTAGAATTTGCTGATCTTTCTATTTCCATTTTAAAACAGTAAAACACATAAAATAATTAAATTGAACATTACTTATAACAATTCCTTCCCCAATCAGAAAACCCCGTTAAAATCAAATGCAGCTACTGTTTATTTAGTAAAATTCGTATTCGTATTCGTATTTAGCGAAACAACAGCAATTTGGTGATTGGCAGAATGTTTATCACGGGTGTTAAGTACCGATAATTAAATTACCAATGACACGTGGTTGATGTTTATTGGACACGTAAGCGTTTTCACACCATTTAGATAATGTGATAAAGAGAAACATGTATTGACTCTAAGATATTAAATTTTTTTTTTATAACTTGTTATTGTCGAAAATATTGCTTTTGAAGCTTGTTATGCCAATATTTCACTCAAACTATGAGAAAAAATGTGTATATGAAATGTGAGACGTAATAAAACATTTTGGAGTCTGAATCCGCCACTGATGACGGTCAAGTTTTCTATTACAAGTGTTAAAAACATTAAACACCCGTGCCATACACATGCACGATACGTTGCTAATTGCTAACAATTCTCTCGTAATTGACTACCTTTTGTTAATATCATAATTATGAAATATTTGGATTGCTCTTGATGAAATATACGAATACGCAACGAACTGTTATTGAAAAAGTACACAATGATTAATGAAAGATAAAGAATTGATAAAATAATATAATATGATAAAACTGTTATGATAATCCCCGTTGCGTCGAAATGTGTCCATTTCGCCGTAATTTTAAATATCTTTTACAATATCCTATTTTCAACATTTTCTAAAATAAAGGAAAGTAAATCAGTTTTAAAAGACTGTTACTTATTATTCTCAAATTCTTATGTTATGTTCAAATATAAGATCTACCCGTTATGCAAATCTTTATTTTCCGTTGCGCCGAAATTATGTCCATTTCACCGTCCATTTAGAATCTGATATATCCAGTATTCTACCTAATAAAATCAAACTTATACAGTATATGTAAAAAATATGTATAAATATCAACAATACCAACTTATATAATTATTTTATGTTTTAGACATAAAAACAGTATACACAGTTTTGAATATAAAATCTCCGTTTCGCAATAATCCATCGGCGCAACGGAGTTTATGAAAGGTATAACAACAATACAATGAATGTTTATAATAAAAAATACTTAACATTGATTCTGTAATATCAACATATGACTTTATTTAGTATATACTAATGCAAATTCAATTAAAAGTACTTTGTTTGCTAGTTTTAAAAAAAATAAATCTCCGTTGCGCCAATGAATTTTTGCGCAACGGAGTTTTGAGCGGTATTACAATAATACAATGCTTATTGTATAGAACATATTGTTTTTAGATGATTTCTATAAATTCAAAATATTATTTTATTAAGCACATACTAATATAAATTTAAAAAATGCATTGCTAATCGTATTTTATTGTCACATTTTAAATTTTGAACTCCGTTGCGCCCGTTGCGTCCGTTGCGCCAAAAAATCTCCGTTGCGTATTTTAGTGGTACCGTGGTCCGGGTACCACTAAAATATGCAACGCAGATTTTTTGGCGCAACGGACGCAACGGGCGCAACGGAGATATTTTTTTAGAAAAAAAACCGCCACAACGCCTTTTTTAAAGTCAATGTGCTATATTTTAGCATCTTAAATGATTGTTTAGCACTATTAAGTAAGTATGTTTTAAAACGCTTAATTGTGATTTTACAAGTTGATTTCGGTAATGAAAAGTTGATTTCGGTAACTTTACCGAAATCAAGTTTATTTCGGTATCGTAACGTACCGTTCATAAATTGTATATGTTTCAATCACTCGTTTTAATGGATTTAACTCAATACAGGATTAGCGCAGTACCTCTAGACGCTCACAAAATAGACAAATATCGTTTATTTTCGCGGATTTTTACATTTTCATTCATTATCATACATAAATCGGCGTGAAAAGATGAATTAGACCTTTTTCAGTTCATTCCGTTGGGTAAAAAGGCAAGATTTTAGCATTTTATGATTCAAGGGCCTTGTCCGGTATGTACCGGAATACGGTATTTAGTGTGGTGCTCCAATCCTTTTTGGCTTGCAGCCACGGCTGCAAGCCATTTGTTTTGAATAACTTGTTCCGGTAAGGTGGCTTCCTGTTTCCAATTGTTAGTGCATGATTGAACGGGAAACCAGCTGCAATCGTGCCAATCGCAACTTTTCGGCCTTTTCCGTCACTCTTCGGATTAATGATAATAGCCGATGTAGTTCCGATTGCAATCGTGACAATTCGGGCGATTCCGTCATACTGCGGAATCAGACAAAGTAATATTACGGAAATCTAAGCTATTTTAGTTACTTCGGTAATCCCAGTTTGTTGATATAAATAGGATTTCTATTTTTACTTGATTTATCGGTTTAAACCGTAATAAATTAAAAACGAAATTGTTCCGTTTCAATTGTTTTTCAAGACGCAAAAGTTAGTTTTTTTTATAATTGTTTTTGTCTGTATTAGTTTTATACAATAGAGAATGGTGACTGTAGTAGTATTCCGTCTTCAAAGGGTGGTCCTGCTTACCAAATCACGCATGATCGAGTTATATTTAGATCTACTGAACGCAATTCAATGGTGAGGTAATCTAAAAATAGCCCTGCATATCATTAACTTTGCCACGTGCTGATCTACAGATAGCGCATCGTATTTGTGATCGTGTAACATAGTTGATACATGCTTATTAATTGAATTTGGTACCACGTAACGAAGTATTTTAGTGCATTTACTTGTCTATAAAGCAAACGAATGATTTCTCTGCGAAAAAGGAGAAATGAAATGTGCACACTTGTTTCCCTACAGTATACGATTGATCATTTTCTTTATTAGTTTTATACAATAGAGAATAGATTTCAAATCGTTTTGACAAAAAATATTCGTTTTTCCAAAAAAAAACCCAACAAAAAACAACTAAATAAACCCTTTATGATATACAAATACCGTAATTCAAAAAAATTGTGATAATAAATTGAAACCAAAAAAAAAAAAAAAAAAAAAACAACAATTTTAAAGGGTTGGGATGAAGGCACAACTGTACAAGCCTTTCCTTTTAAAAGAAAACTTTATTTTAGTCTCACTCATGTTTAATTGCACTGAAGGGTTATATGCCTGGCGAAATGGAAATTTCATGGCGCAACGGAGATATTTTTTTTAGAAAAAACCGACACAACGCCTTTTTAAAGTCAATATGCTATATTTGAGCATCTAAAATTATTGTTTAGCACTATTAAGTAAGTATGTTTTAAAATGTTTCATAAATTGTATATGTTTACACTGAAGGATTATATATGCCTAGCGAATGGCGCAACCTGGAGATAATTTTGGAAAATCGGCACAACGTACATGTATGTACTGATATATGAAATGAATTAACAACAATGTTATTTGAATAAATAAATTTAAAAAAAAAAGATAAACAACCTTAATCGTATATCAAATAGCTTCAATGTTGATGTTGTGAAGGATTGTGTGCCGGCGAAATGAACATTTTGTCTGCGCAACGGATATTTTTTTTTGGCGCAACGGAATTTA